TTTTTTCCTTGTATATTTATCATTCACTTCTTGAAACACTTGTTTTTTTTCAGTTGGTGAGTTTAGATTAGATGATTTATTTAGATTTGAATTGAACGAAGTATTGGTATGGTCATTGAAATTATACTTAAATAACCTACTAGCCATGAGATTGTGCGTGTTGGTTGAGGTAATGGAACCTATAGTATTAAGCAAATAATATTTAAAAAAAACAATAGATAAAAGTACCTGATAAGCTATAGTATGTAGAATACGTGATAGAAAAAAAATTCGAAAATGCCAAAGAGCACAATCAAATTTCGGTCGAGTACCAACGTAAAAAAGGCCAATTAAAACAAATGGAATAATATTTTCCAAATCATTTAAATGATTATTTCGTACACGTTCAACTATATCATTTTTACTTTTTATCGTACCACTAGAATGACCTAATTGATTCATTAATTGTTTATAAATATCATCTTCTGATGTAGTAAAATTTCTTGTACGAAAACGTTGAATTATTGTATAAGTTGACATGCCAAGCATTTTTAAAAGTGTCATAGAAGAATAACTAGCTAATGCAGCAAATACTGGATTAGAAAAGGAATAAGATCCATTGGATATAAGATTGCTAAAAGCATTTCCACCTCCTCCGTATTGCATTTCTTTCTTTTTTTTGCTTCGTAATATATATATATATATAAAATGTCGTTTTCTTTTGTTTTGGCGCAGTATCAACAACACAAAAGAAAATAAGAGCTAATAATGATATGCGCGCGTAATCAATTAGGATAGAAATCTTGTTTCAAAAACAAAAGAAATCGAATATAAATAGTATATGTGAAACAATGATATGATTAAAATTCGATGGTAGCTTTAGATCTAGAAAAGGGTAGAAACAATTCTATGGAAATCTGTATTTTCCTAATGGAAAGTCTTACAGCCTTACGAAGTCAAACATTTTGACTGTGATAAAATTCGAAAATTGTTTTTTTTTTTCTTGAAATTTATTTATGAATCTATAATGTAGTGTATTTTGGTTCATTAGTTAGCATATAAAAAATAAAGTTCTTATTATGTAAGAATAATACACTTGATTTTTTTTAGTAAGGTAACTTCAAAAAATTCTTTACGATCACACTGACAGAGTCAAAGTTGGGTTTCGGAATCTAATGCATGACTTTAGAAAATGTCAAAATACTTCTACTTTCATTCGATAAAAAAAAAGATCTTAGAAATCTTATTAGAGATTAGTATCTTATACTAAACTTTATAAATAAGTCCAATTTTTAACATGAAAATTTACCATTGATCATATTTTGTTTCATCTCAATAAAAAAAAAAAAAAAAACTTGTTTTAGAATATATAATTTATAATCAAAATGATGGCCTTAGTACCAAGATCGAATGGTAATAGTAATGGTGACAATCAAAATGCTGAGAAAGTGTGCGATATCCTCCAAGAAGTAATTTAACTTCTCTGTTTTTCTTAATTATATTTACATATTTATATTTCTCATAGATTCGTGATGAATGTCATACACTTAGAACATTCGTTTCCCAACAACCACAAGGTAATAATAACACGGATAGGAATAATTTATCAGAAATGCTTGCTCGAGCAGAACATACTGTAAAGGTATATTATTTACATTTATTCATATTTAAAATATTTCATAGGGTTTTTTTTTCTTTGAATGAAAATTTATAGGAGAGAACAGATGATGTATTAAATATGCTCAATGGAAATACTGTTACTACATTAACTTTTAATCAATTACGTGGTGGACATCCACATATGCAAGATGGATCGACTCTTGATCAATTTAATCAATATCAACAATATCGTGATGGTGCTAATGGAGTTTCACGAGAAAGAATATATACTAGGTCAACAGTTAATTCATCGAAATCTGAATGATTTCTTTTCGTTTTTTGCTATTAAGAAAAAAAAAATGTTAAAAATAACTTTTTTTTTTCCATTTATTCTAGTCATCAAAGATATAATGAAGGCATGCCAATTGTTTCCATAGGTGCTCAACAACAACGATTAGTAGCACCAGGTGCTGTTGCTCGTTTAGAATATGAAGCTAAAATAATGCGTAATCCATTTAATAAACGTAATCGTCAATTATTACATGATAATTATGGTATTCAATTACCTATTATTGAAAAACAACAACGAACAGTAATCTTTCGATTTCACTTTTTTTTTTTATTCTCTGTATCACATCAATTAGATTACTTTATTTAGCCAACATCAAAAAATCTTATGTTAGGAAAAACAACTGAACCACTTGGTATTTTACCACTTAAAACTCGACGTAATCCAATTGTAAGAATATCAATAAGTTTTTCTTTATTAAATATACGTATATACTTAACATTGTTTAGGATTATCCTGTTCCATTAACATCAGAAGATGCTAAACGAGGAATAATAAGTTTAGTCGAACGTGGTATTATTCCACAAGGTGCACATATTACATTAGAACCACCACCAATTCAGCCGAAAAAATCAAGTCTAAATGATCCAGCTTTACGATCAAAAGTATATATTAGAGGTAAGATTAAATTTGGGCAAGATAGTCTCGAGACCAAGACTAACATTTTTCTATTAGGAGTGATATCTTTTATGGTCATATAAACTTATGTCAAATTTCATATTCTCATGACGCATATGTTCTAATAGTTTATACGAAAATCATTGAATAATGATGACTTCGATATTTACTGTTACAATTTTTAATAGTAAAATTTATCTTTTTTTTTTCGCAAACAACAAAGTTGTTGGACACATAACTGTACAAAATAGATGAAGTATTAGTGGATTAAAAAAGTAATGAATTTCCAAGAAGGAATATATTATAGGTCATGCAAGATGTCTCGAGTTCATTGACACCGCTAGAAAATGGTATCACATTTTTCGCTAATACATGTATTACTAATGAGGGAACTATCGTAAGTGATACCCGCCGTTGTAGCTTATATTAAATCCACAGAAAGATCTTGGTGAGAATAGAAAAAGTCTGAAAGGTTTCAGTCTTATTGGCCTTTGATAGCGAGTTATGACCAATTTAGTAGATTTTTGACTCATTTTTAGATACTCTCCAAAAGACCGATTAACGGAATTTTGATCCAAGATTTTGTCTGTAGATAGATCTAATGATTCTTCGAATATCCTGAAATTTTCAGCCGAAAAGAATGTTCTTTGTCAAGTTACTGAATTTTCAAGTTAACTCGATTTTTATGACAAAGGGGTAGTTTTAGAAATTCAATATCTTGACGGAGAAGCATTCTTTTTGGCTGAAACTCTTAAAATATTCTAAGAGTCATTAAATCTATCTATAGGCAAAATTTTAGTTCGAACTTCTGTCATTTGATTTTTTGGAAACTGCCTACAAATAAATCGAAAGTCCACTAAACCGATTATAACTTGGCGCAAACGGTCAATGGAGACAGAAATCCTTTTAGGCTTTTGCTATTCTTACTGAGATCTGCCTGTGGGTCCGATATGAACTTAAACGGTGAGTGTCAATTGGGTTATTTCTCTCGTAACTGCGAAATCCGGTCCAAAATTTTTCTGACTAGGACCAGAAAACGATTGATCTGGTTCATCGCTATGCAAAATATATTCAATTTTATTATTAAAATTGTTTTTATCTACGAAAAAAAAACGATCGTTTTTTTAGACGAACCTAATACATCTGTTTATCATCTTGAACCACCAAATATTAAACAACTTGCTATAACTGATAAAACTTTATCACCACCACCATTAATGGACCATACATCAAGTGGAACATTAACTGAACCAAGTGAAAAAGATTTAGCTCTTTTATTAGCACGTAATAAATCTCATGAATTAACCATAAATGAATCACGTAAATCATCTGCTAATCAAACACAAAAAGGTAGTTTAATTGTAACAAATAGTGGTGGTATTGGAAGTCTTGTTGGTCGTCCATTACCAACACCAGCATCAAATTTTGAATATAAAAAAACATTTCGTTTAATTATACAAAATGGTTTAACAAAGGATCAAACAGAAGACTTTCTACAATTTCGACAATTTTATTGTTTAATGTGGGGAAGTATTGTAACTGTATTTCGAATATTAGAAAAACTTATGCATGATTATGCTATACCAGTTGCATTTATTCATGGAGAAAAGTAAGATAAATTTTTATTTTTATTTTTATTTTTTTAATTAAATATTATTTAATTTGAATAATTAGAGTTGCTGAACTTGCACAAACAATTGAATTTGAACATAAACCAACAATAGAAGAACTTCTTAGTACAGTTATTAATCGAGATGAAGTTGAAGAATTAATTAAAAAACCAGTAAAATTTCTTTTTTTTTTTTTTATAGAAATAAATATTTTTTTGTATTTTTAAATAAAATAGGGCCGTCGATTTTATGGTAGTGGTGGTAAAGAACGAGCAGCTATTGCTATTCAATCATATTGGCGTTGTTTTCGTGATCGTCGTGCTTATATACGTTTACGTAAACGTAAATGGGCAGCAAGTGTTATTGCATTAACATGGTTAACACAGGTTAAATTATCTAAAGTACGAAAACAATTAGTAATAATTCGTAATCGTCAATTAGATTTATATAAAACAAAACAAAATGAATTAAAACGAAATTGGTCATCAATATCAACAAATCGTCGTGTTATTGTTCATATACCATCATTAGGTTTATCACAACGTGTTAGAAGAAAATTAAATAATTTACCTGTTAGAGAAAATTATCAAATAGGACGTTTATGTGATTTAGATGATCCAAATGTTGATATTATATATGTTTCACCAATGACTATTAATGATGAAATTTTACAATATTATAATAAATTAGTAAGATATTAATTATGAAATTCATTTTTATTCATTATGTTAATATTTAGATGAATTTACGAGCATCTATAGAACAAAATACTGAACAAGGATCATCATCATCATCATCATCAACATTTGCAAATGCTAGTGAAAGATTTATGATTGTTGTACCAGAAGCATTGCATAGTTTTCCTGTATGTAACTAGATAACTATTTTCGAATTTATTTCGAATTTAATTTTGAATATTTAGATGCATAATATGTGTTTAGCTACTTTACTTAAATATAGTCCAAGAGCTTTGAAACGGTAATTAATTTTAAAAATCTACTTATTATATTTGTTACATTCGATTTTTAGAATTAAAAATTTAATAAAAGGTCGTGATGCTTATATTGTCACAGGTGTTTCACATGTAGATGATCTTTATGTATCTGAATATCTTGATATTCCCATCTTTGGTTAGTCATCATGTTTGTTTTTTCATCTATTTCAATGAATTTTTTTTTTATATATAACATTCATTAGGTTGTGAACCTGAAGTATCATATTTATATTCAACAAAATCAGGTTCAAAACGAATATTTGAAGCAAGTAAAGTTCCAGTACCATTTGGTGAATATGATATTTATAATCAACAACATCTATTGGAATCATTAGCACAATTAATTATTGAACATCTTGATGTTCAACGATGGTTATTTAAGATAGATGA